TGACAGTTGTAAACAATGGATGGCTTCCTTTCATGCCATCCATTGTATACAAGTGTGCCTAGCTGTGAATGATAACAGTAATCACATGCACAGGCTGGGCCAATCACCGCCCATCTGTGTCATGTGATTAGCCATGGCCAATCACAGCTAATCACAACAAAAAAACCTGAATGAATCGATTTCATTCAGTTAAAAGATTGCTGATAGCAAAGAAATTATTTGTTATAAGCAATCAAATTGTGTAAAACAAAAAATACTGATCTCTTCCTCAAAGTAGTACAATGTTACTATGGTAACATTATGCTACTTTGGTCATTGTGTAATATGAAAAAAAAAATCTTAAAAAAAGAAAAAAATGTAATAAAAAATAAAAAAAACATTATTAAAAAAAATTGAAAAAAATTATCGTTATTTTTTTTTCATACTGTCACCAGTCAGTCTCCTGATCACTGCCACACTAGTTATATGATGATGCTGTACTGCACTGGTGACAGTATGTAAAAAAAAAAAAAAAAAAAGTGAAAATAATTTTCATTTCTTCATTTTCTGAAAAATGACAAAAAAATGACAACTTCAAAAAAACTCTCCATGCCTCTTATGAAATACGTTGGACTGTCCTCAAGAAATTAGATTGGCTGTCAGTACTTCAGGATTGATCAATTTTCAGATATATCCCATAGTTTGTGAACTCTATAACTTTCCTACAGACTAAATAATAAATACTGATTTGGGTTATTTTCACCAAAGAAATGTAGCAGAATACATCTTGGCCTAAATTTATGAAGAACAATTATTTATGTGCAAACTTTTATAAACAGAAACAAAGAAAAAAAAACGTGTTGTTGTTTTTTCAAAATTTGTAGTCTTTTTTTGTTAATTTAGCAAAAAATAAAAACCTCAGTGGTGATTAAATACCACCAAAAGAAAGCTCTAGTTGAGTGAATTACAATTGTGCGGTCATGCAACGCTGTACCAAAACTACATTTTTACCATTTTGTGGTAAGGGGGGTAAGGAAGGGGGTAAAAGTGCCCGATACTGAAGTGGTTAAGGTCCCAGAGAGTAGGTTTATCATTGTTAAGGGTACCCTTTTAGGTCAAGAGATTACCATAGCTAATATACGTATATGCTTCCAATTCAGCTCAAGCTACTTTTTTCTCCTCTTTTTTTGGAATTTTAGAAAAATTTTCCTCCAATCATATGTATGTAGGTGGGGATTTCAACCTGGTAGCCAATCCTCTGGTGGATAAAAGTACTTTTTCACCCTTTTCTTCCGCCTTTCCAAAGTCTCTCACAAAACGCTTATAGTCCTTTCAACTGACAGACTCTTGGCTGGCACATAACACTGGGGCCAAGGATTATACTTTTTATTCCCACCCCCACGACTCCTATGCTAGATTAGATTATCTTTATTGTACCCCAATTATTTTGGCGAACTCTACAGATGCCAGGATCCACCTATGTCCCCGGTTGGACCATAACATTGTGTCTTTATCCACTTCCTTTATAGGCCTAGCCACTACCCCTTACTCCTGGTGGTTAAATGATTCTTTACTTGCAGACCCTGCTTCTCATCAGGAAGCAGCTACATCCATCCAAAACTACTTTCTATTGAATAACACTCCTTATACTTCTTCCCCCATGTTATGGGTCGCACCCAAAGTCCTTCGAGGCCGCCTGATCTCTATAGCAACCACCAAAAACAGAGAATGTTGGTGACAGATTCAGACACTTACTAAGGGATTAGAAACCCACTATAGGAGTCCCTGTTGAACAGACAATTGTTTGCCCAGAAACGTCTTGAGCTAAATACACTATTGTCCCACAAAACTGAAAAGGCACTTCTATGGTCAAAGGCCAACTTTTTATTAGTAATTACATAGTAATTCAGCCTCCACTATGTTCACCGTAAGCTTGGTCAGTCGTTACATCCTCCCCATGTGTATAAATTACGTAATGACAAGGGCCATAGCTCCTCATTACCCCATGAGGTTTTGGATATCTTTAAAAATATTTACTAGAGCAGTGTTTCTCATCCTTTTTTCAGTCAAGGCACCCTTTAAAATTATGAATAATCTCAAAGGCACCCTTTAAAATTCTGCACAATCTCAAGGCACCCCAATCTAAAATGTAAAAAACTAAATATTAGAGGTGATTTATTCTTCTAAAGCAAATACACCTTTGAACACTGGTACTGACTGACTAGTATTCCAGTGTGTCCCTCTCATTTTCTCTCCCTCACTTTGCTACTGTGACCCCAGTGCTGATGGAGATGGGCAGGAGAGGGTCAAACAAGGATGAGGTGCATACACCCGACATCCTCCTTATCAACTGAAGATGTTTTTGGCTGTTAGGATGCTGGCAGCTAGGCGGTCATAAAAGTGCACAAATAAAAACCTGTGACTTTTGTGTACTAAAAGGCAGGATTGATCCACCTGCTGGCTTGTATACAATTCTTGGGCAACCCTGAAGAAGCCTGAAGGCACCCTGGTTGAGAAAGGCTGCCTTAGAATAATTAATACTTTGAAACGGTCTACGGCACATGGTCCAGATAGATTTTCTGCCAGCTATTATAAGAATTTTACACCACTCCTAGCCCCAACCTGATGGAGCTGTTTAACTGGGTCCTACAGGGTAATACGTTTCCAGAGGAGATGCTTTTGGCTAACTTGTCTTTTCTGCTGAAACCCCTGAGTGATCACCTGTTGCAGCAAAATTACAGGCCCATTTCTGTTATTAATAACGATTTAAAAATCTTTAGCCGTGTTCTGGCTGATAGACTGGCTCCGGTGATATCTTCATTGGTCTCACCTGATCAATCAGGGTTTATCTCGAATAGGCTTATCACAGACAATATTAGACTTATACTTGAAGTGATACAGGATGCCATTTTACACTCTAAGGAGGTGCTACTACTGAGCCTAGATATTAATAAAGCCTTTGATAGTGTTCTTTGGTCATACCGGTTTTCGTTTTTACAGTGCAGAGTATCCAGAATTTGTATCAGGAGTGCAGGCCTTGTATACCTCTCCTAAGACGCGGAATTTCAGAGGGGGGGGGGGGGGGGGTGGGTAGAGTTATCTCTTTTGATCAACTGCAGACCCTTTTTGATATCCCACTCTGTGAACATTACTGTTATGTGCAAATACGTCATTTCTACCTCACGCATTTTAGCCTGGTGCCTTCCTCCCCGCTTACCTTTTTGAGTGTATCTGCCGTCACTCTCAGAGGCAGAGGCCTTATCTCAGATTTGTATCGCCTCTCATTTGCTGCATGTTATCCATCGCCTCCTCTCTATAGAACCAAATGGGAGATTGACTGTAATACCATTTTTTCAGCTGAGGATTGGGATACCATGGTGGATAACAATTGTAGGGGTTCTAGGTCCCTATAAGTCCGTGAGACAGCTCTTAAGGTTCTTACCCATTGGTATTACACTCCATTGAGATTGCATGTTATGTTTCCATGGGGCCTCGCCCCTCTGTTTCAGGGGTTGCGGCCTTGCTGGTACTCTCATGCTCATGTTTTGGGATTGCCCTTGTCTCTCCCAGCTATGGAGGAAGATTTTGGAGGTTGTGTCTGCATTGGTAGGATCTCCTGTTGATCTATCACTGAGGATGTGTTTACCTGGTTCGCCTATCCCAGGGGTTTCCAGGAGTTTATGGAGATTGATCCCTACGATTTGTGTGTCTACTTTGTGGGCTATAGCACTGCACTGGAAATCCCGTGGTCCCCTTGGACTCGGTGGTGAATAGAATTGATATGGTAATGCTTATGCTGTTAGCTTGATTATCTCTATGGGATATATCTGTATATGCTTGCTGGCCATGCTGATGTTGATAGGCCTTGTTTTTCTTCTGTGCTTCTTCGTTTTTCTCTTGACGTTTTGATCTCCTCTTTTCTAGTTATTTTGTATTTTATAACCATTGGTGCATTTTTGTACACTTGTATATGGTGATATACTTTGTCAATTGATATGTTTTTTCATTTTCATAATAAAAAGAGTTTGTAAACAAAAAAAAAAAAGAATATTAGCATGCAAGGGAATTTACTCCAGAGATAAAACTATAATGCTACCACTTTATAAAACTCTGGTTCGACTGCATCTAGAGTATGCCGTCCAGTTTTGGTCACCAGTCCTCAGATGGGATGTGCTAGAGCTGGAGAAAGTCCAGAGAAGGGCAACAAAGTTAATAAGGGGCCTGGGGGACCTTAGTTACAAGGAAAGGCTACACACATTAAACTTATTTTCCATGGAGTAGAGACGCTTGAGAGCAGATATGATAACAATATACAAATACCTGAGTGGTGATTCTACCATAAGGAACAAACTATTCTGTCTCCGGGAGTATAAGATGACACGGAGCCACTCAATGAAATTGGAGGAGAAACAGATTGGCCTCAAACTGCGTAGGGGTCTTTTTTCACTGTCAGAGCGGCAAGGATGTGGAACTCACTTCTACAATCAGTGGGGTCCGTGGGTAGTATTAATAGTTTCAAAAAAACTCTTACATGGGCAGCTTAGTGAACAAAATATACAGGGATATAGGATATGAGTTTTTGACATGAGCACACCCAAACCCACACAGATTGAACTGGATGGACTGTTGTCTTCATTCAACCTTACTAACTATGTAACTATGTAGATCACAGGCTCAGAAATAACATGCAATGCCAAGCTGCAGAAAGCAAAACTAGAAGACTATTAGTGTGCATTCCAAAGGGTAAATACTCAAGAGACTATATTATAATTCTACCATGTTACAAAACTCACATTTTGAGTATGCTATCCAGTTCTAGTTGCCAGTCCTCAGAAAGGATGTGCTGGAAAAGGAGAGAGTCCAGATAATGTTAACAAATCTAAGACAGCTGGAGAACCTCAGTTGTAAGGAAAGGCTACAAACATTAAACGTATTCTCCCTGGGGAAGAGGCGCTTAAGAGGAGATATGATCAAAATTTTTACATATCTAAATGGTGATTCTAATATAGGGAGAACATTATTCATTCTCAGGTCACTTAAGAAGACATGTGGCCACCTAATGAAGTTGGGTGAGAAGCAGTTTAAGCTTAAACTGCGTAAGGGGTTCGTTACTCTTGGAAGGATGCTGTCACCACAGATGGTCATCTCCTGTACTGTGTCCGCAGTCTCTGGTCATCCCCTGTACGGTGTCCGCAGTCTCTGGTCATCTCCTGTACGGTGTCCGCAGTCTCTGGTCATCTCCTGCACTGTGTCCGCAGTCTCTGGTCATCTCCTGCACTGTGTCCGCAGTCTCTGGTCATCCCCTGTACTGTGTCCGCAGTCTCTGGTCATCCCCTGTACTGTGTCCGCAGTCTCTGGTCATCCCCTGTACTGTGTCCGCAGTCTCTGGTCATCCCCTGTACTGTGTCCGCAGTCTCTGGTCATCCCCTGTACTGTGTCCGCAGTCTCTGGTCATCCCCTGTACTGTGTCCGCAGTCTCTGGTCATCCCCTGTACTGTGTCCGCAGTCTCTGGTCATCCCCTGTACTGTGTCCGCAGTCTCTGGTCATCCCCTGTACGGTGTCCGCAGTCTCTGGTCATCCCCTGTACGGTGTCCGCAGTCTCTGGTAATCCCCTGTACGGTGTCCGCAGTCTCTGGTCATCCCCTGTACGGTGTCCGCAGTCTCTGGTCATCCCCTGTACTGTGTCCGCAGGCTCTGGTCATCCCCTGTACTGTGTCCGCCGCAGTCTCTGGTCATCCCCTGTACTGTGTCCGCAGTCTCTGGTCATCCCCTGTACTGTGTCCGCAGTCTCTGGTCATACCCTGTACTGTGTCCGCAGTCTCTGGTCATCCCCTGTACTGTGTCCGCAGTCTCTGGTCATCCCCTGTACTGTGTCTGCAGTCCATTGGTTCAGAATGTTTTTTTTCTTGTTTTTCTCCTCTAAAACCTAGGCGCGTCTTATGGAGTGAAAAATATGGTACATACATACATACACATAGATACACACACTGAACTGGATGGACTGGTGTCTTTATTTAATTATACAATAACCACCTCCAATTATTGTGACTCCCCTACAACACAAATCAACACCCTTCCCTAAAGGTGTACAAAATTGTATCAATGAAAATGTGTTTTTATATAATTAATCCAAAAATTAATAAATAAAATATAACACGTGAGTACAATTCCTAAATATATCACCCAATATTCAACTTAATCCCTCAACGTCTTTATTAAAAAATAGTCCACTACTAAATATAAAGTCCAAAAAAATATAAATCAATAAAATCCACAAAAAAATCCATAAAAAAAATCAAGCCAATTCTTCCACCGAATCCACCTCAAAAAAAAGAAAAATTCACATAGTGCATTACCTTTTTAAATAAAATTATCAGCTTCATATATAGTGAATCCGTGAAAAAAACAGTAGTCATGACTAAGTAGATGACGAAATGCGTCAAGGGAGAGTGACGTCAAGACGCATACCGGAACCGGAAGTCGACTGGCGGCCATTTTGGAGAAGGGAAAAGAACGTGTAAGCGCATTGGGACGCTCCCTGGATGGCTGTGAGACTCCTTCTATTGCACTAAAAAGCGGTTTTTAAAGTTATATCATGTGAGCAGTTGGGAATAAATATTTAAACTATAAATCCGATTGGCGGTATTATACTATGTTGTTCTATATGTTTTTTTGGAGACATTGTGAGCAGAGTGTCTGAGGAGCCCAGAGAGTGTCGCAGCAACAGGATATATATGAGGTCTAGTCTGTGCAGTCCCTGGAATGTGATAGGCATACTTTATATAGATGGTTGGTAAGGGTACCCTTACAGCAAAATAGAAGTGTACACCTGTTTGAATTGTTTTTTGGTGTGGCACTAAAGAGTGGTATATACACTTTATTTTCACTGCTTGATCACGGTTTTTCACATTTTCTCACTGTTTTTTTCACGGATTCACTATATATGAAGCTGATAATTTTATTTAAAAAGGTAATGCACTATGTGAATTTTTCTTTTTTTTGAGGTGGATTCGGTGGAAGAATTGGCTTGATTGATTTTTTTATGGATTTTTTTGTGGATTTTATTGATTTATATTTTTTTGGACTTTATATTTAGTAGTGGACTATTTTTTAATAAAGACGTTGAGGGATTAAGTTGAATATTGGGTGATATATTTAGGAATTGTACTCACGTGTTATATTTTATTTATTAATTTTTGGATTAATTATATAAAAACACATTTTCATTGATACAATGGTGTCTTTATTTAACCTTACTAACTATGTAAGTATGAATTACTGGCTAGATCATCAGGTGAAAATGAAGGAAAAAGAGTAAAAACTAATGCAGCTTCCGCATATAAGACTTGGTGAGCTGCAATGTAATACAATGTGGTTTTTGGGTGTAATACAGCTTCATGCATGCACCACTCATCTAAGATTAAAGTGGTTGAATACCTCATACATACATGAAAAATGAACAAAGCGTATCCCTCTATAGTGCGAACTTGCCCCAGTTAAGAGCACTTTCTTCCTGTGCTATCAGAATGAATCACTTCTGACAAGTTTTTGTGCTGTGTGCATGGGGATGTGTCTCTTCCCTCCAATTAGCTCTCATAGCTCTACTTATTGAGCTCTTAATGAGCTCTGCAGAGTGAAACTTCAGCTCTCCACCCCCTTTTTTCTGAACTCTCAGAAAGCTGTACACATTCTGGAATTTGAATGAATGTAGAGAAGAGAAGACTGCAGATAGACAGGTACAACTTGCGTAGGAGGAATTGTTTTATCTGTGTGTATCACCTGAGGCCAGTCACTTCATTGGGTATATGTAAGGGTTTATTACCACTTTAAAAAACGGAGCAGATCTTGCTGATAATTAACAAAAAAGGGCTCTGTGTACTATGCCTTGACAGACACAACACAAGGACCAGTTCAGTTGGATCTACTTACTGGATCTTTCTGACTCCTGCCCCCTCCCTTGGGTTAGACCAGTGTTTCTCAACTCCAGTCCTCATGGACCCCCAACAGGTCATGTTTTCAGGATTTCCCTCAGATGAAACAGCTGTGGTAATTACTAAGGCAGTGAAACTGATCAAATCACCTGTGCAAAATAATGGAAATCCTGAAAACATGACCTGTTGGGGGTCCATGAGGACTGGAATTGAGAAACACTGGGTTAGACCAAAAGGAAGGCAGAAAGCTATTAACCCTGCAGACTCCGCTTGTGCAGTGTAATCAGTGCATGTGCAGAGAGGAATGTGAGCTGTCTGCAGATAGTTCAAATGCTTTTCTCCAGGCCCTAACTGGTAAGAATCTGCATCAGCTATATTGAAAACTGTCATAATAATTTTGTTAATTAGGTACAGACCCTGCATTAGTTTCTATTTCACTCTGAAATAGAAACTGGCACAGGTGATGCAGATAGACCTGAAATAGGTGTATCTGCTTTCCTAATGTGGTGCAATCTACTTGCGTCACTCCTAAAGCATAGTTCATTCACCCCATTGAGTTCATGTGGCCACAGGGATTCATTTAGTAAAGGCTATTGCTGTTCACTTTGCAAAGAAATTCTCACTTTGCAAGGGAATTTTTTCTTAGCTTAGTGAATGCAGTGGAAAATTCACTTTACAACAAATACTTAATCTCATGCAAATAAAAGTAAAAAAAAGTGTGTTGCTTGCACATGATTAGAAGACGGAAGTCAGAAGAACTTAATCTCATTCACTGAGTTAAAGGAAAAATCCTTTGCAAAGTAAACAGCCTATTTTCCTATAGCAAGCAACCCCAGAACTGTGTTCGTGGCATTGAGGTAAAAAATTTCAATATGCAGCTTGAAAAGTTGATTGCCACTCTAAATTTCTCAAAGAATGGTTCCTCTGAAAATGTACAGCCAACAGGTCTTGTTCTGTGTGTCCAATCTAAGCATTGATAGTGTGATCTCTGTAACTTACAGTTGTGATGAGATAGCGATAACTTCAACCTCAGTTGGGGTCCACAGTCAGTGACTCAATCAGAATGATATCTTGCAGATCTTGTGAAGTTTATTCCATAAACTGAGAGAATCTTACAATAAACATTCGATAGGTCAAAAGAACATACTGTGCCTTGCTTCATGCCATGGGGCTGTTGCAATGCATTTCTGGGAAAAAGGGGAGGGCTATCTATGCAACATTAGCTAAACTAAAAGGAAAGGGAGGAGCAGAGACAAAACACTGAAACATTTAAAAGGCATATGACAGTCAATATGACAGTCATGTGAAACATGAAACTCCCAGTTGAAATCTATGATTTCTATTATAATAACTTTAGTTCAAGTCCAATACATAAATAAAGATTCTTTCCAGGAACATCTGCAAAAAAGAGGGAAGGGAAGAACAAGGGAAAACCATTCAAAACATTTAGGATAATACTTGCAGATGTTTGTCTCAAAAGTCCAGGCTGAGACATGGAAATCCATATTCAGAGGAGAAGGCAGCAACATGCATGATTCCTTCTTACCTCCCTTTAAATCAGGTTGGCAAAAGAAGTACTAGTTCCTTTATAGGCCTGGAGTAAAGGTGTGCAGAACCTTCTTTCATGGTGGATATAGCCAAGATGTGTCCCAAAATGCAGTAGTAGGTACTGCATGACTGCCACGGTCAGCAGGGTTGAGGCTTGTGGGAACATAGTGCCATTGTTCAATCGTAGAGAAGACATGAATTTCTCTTCTGGTGGCATTCTTTAAGGATGCTTGGGTGTAAGAGCATGGTATCTGGAGTTGTTCTAATGCTTTTAGAGACTGTTTCTAGGATTCCCACCTTTGTTGTTTCTCCTTGGGTAAGGGGGTATCCCAGTCTGAGCTTTCAGAAGTAAGTTGTCTCAGCAGTATCTTACCCTGAATGGTGAGAGGTGTAATGAAACCTAATGGATCATAAATGCGGTTCACTGTAGACAATACTCCACGCTTTGTGAAGGGCTTGTCACAGGTTGATGCTTCAAAATGTGAATGTGTCTTGTTTAACATTCCAAAGCAATCCAAGACTGCGTTCTGTAACAGAAAGGTCAGATCCTAGTTGGAATTTCTTCACACTGACAGCATGGTCATCAGAAGGAAAGGCTATCATGACCTTGTCGCTGTTAGAGATGATTTTGTGAAGTCTGAGGTTTGAAGTGGCAAGCATGTTCTGGGTTCTAGTAAGAAGGTCAATAGCTTCTTCTTCATTGGGCAGAGATTTGAGTCCGTCATCTACATAGAAATTCCTTTCGACGAACTGTCTTGCATCAGATCCAAATTCTCTTTCATCCTCTTAAGTGGTTTTCCTCAGTCCATAAATTGCTACTGCAGGAGAAGGACTGTTACAGAAAACATGTACCTTCATTCGATAGTCTATGGACTTCATCGTTGACATCATTATTGCGGTACCATCAGAACCTGAGGAAGTTTCTGTAGTCTTCACAGATGATGAAACAGTGGAACATCTGCTGAACATCAGCCATAACAGCAATTGGCTCTTGTCTGAAGCGCAGTAAAACTCCTATGAGATTGTTGTTCAGATTAGGCACAGTGAGAAGATTTTCATTGAGGGAGACGCCTTCATGACGAGCACTTGAGTCAAAGACCACCCTAATTTGATCAGGCTTGTGAGGATGGTAGA